TGCAGAGAGATTTTTTCAGTGCCAAAATATCTGTAACCACTGGAGAATCAGCATGAACCTTCTCACAAAAACCCCACATGAAATCTCCCACTGCATTTCTACAAATTAGACCAATACCAGCAGAATTAGGCCAAAATGAACCATCACATACAATTAATTTTTACCTTACCGCTGTCGGGATATAGCTCCACTTCCTAGAACCAGTAGACTTCTCAGTATTGCTCCCAATCTGTACTGCCCATCCTTTAGCTCTCCAATATTCATCCATAGCTCTATTTGTAGAATTAATAACCATCCTTGGATCAGGTTTTTTACACTCAAAAACCACCCTATTCCTCTCCTTCCAAACCAGCCAGATAACCCAAACAAAATAAGCTAACTGATTCTCATCAACGATATTCTTTTCAGTTAGCATCTTTGCTCACCAATCATCAAATCTTACCATGTCATTGTCATCAAACCTCAATGACAACCTACATCCAAACCAAACACAATTAACCCAAGAGCATAAGAAGAGAGCATGTTCTAAATTCTCAGGTTCAGATTCACATATGGGGCAAAGCTCAATTCTGCTACACCTCCTTCTAAACAGCCTCTCCTTCACAGGTACTACCTGCCCAAGACATCTCCACAAGAATTGTAGAATTTTAGGCAATACTTTAATTTTCCAAAACTAATTCCATACCTATTTAGGGATATAGAACGGAGAACCTGCCTTCCCATTCACTTTTCTTCTCTTGATTCTAGTACAACGGTATCCTTTTTTAACAGAATACTTCCTATCCTTTGCCCCAAGCCAAACAATTGCATTCTCTCTAGAATTGTAGCTTAGACACATTTCTTCTATCTTCTTCACCACATCAAAGGGCACCAAACCCTCTAACCTCTCCACAGCCCACCTACCATTTTGAATTAAACCAGACACGAGCCAATCTTTTTTATCCTCAGGCACATTCACAAACTGGGACAAATTGCCTTCCGACCCCTTAATCCATTTATATCTCCATAGTCTAACATCAGACCCATTTCCAGTTCTCCAATATAAATCCTCCATAAGAGTTGATCTACCATCTAGAATGCTGCTTCAAATCCAAGAAGCTCTACCATCCTTTTTAGCATCTAGAAAGGAAACATTAGGGAAATAAATTCCTTTGAGCATCTTAACGCATAAATCATCAGGGGAGTATAGAATCCTCTAAGCAGTTTTTGCTAGAAAAGCATCATTGATAATTTCAAATTCTCTGAATCCCATTGCTCCTTCCGTCTTGGAATTAGTTAGCAAGTCCACATTACCTCCACTCCACCAAAATCTAGCAACCATTCCATCAAGCTCCTTACAAATTTTTTTAGGAAACTTGAAACAATTCATAGAAACAAAAGGACTGCACTAATGACAGATTTAATCATAATTTCTCTTCCAGCTTGTGAAAGTAACCTCCCACTCCAACCCTTGATCTTCTTCCCTACCCTTTCTTTAAAGTACGCTAAAGCTTGTTGTTTAGTTTTACCCCAAATATTTGGGATACCAAGATACTTTCCTGGCTCTTCTATGTCTCTAATACCCAAAATTTAGCATACTTTCTCTCTCACATCAGCTGCAGTACTTTCAGAAAAGCTAATGCCAGATTTTCATAAATTCGTCAATTGACCCGAGGCATCACAATAACTCTTTAACAAAGAAGCTAAAACTTTACAATTGGCTTCCTTGGCATTCATAAAGAAGAGAATATCATCAGCAAACAGACAATGAGAAAGCATGGGACAATCACTAGTGATTTTAATTCCTCTCAGCACGCCATCTTCCACATTTCTGTTAATCATTCTTGACAACACTTCCACTACTAAAATGAATATATAAGGTGAAAGACGATCAGCTTGTCTCAACCCCCTTTCTCAAATAACTTCTCCCAACTTCCTACCAGATAAGCAAATATTCAATTTAACAGAAGAAATACATCTCGTAACCAAATCAACCCATCTTCAATGACAGCCAAACTCGCTCAGCACTGCGCTCACAAAATTCCACTCCACCCTATCATAAGCCTTACTCATATCCATTTTAAGAGCAAACTCACTTCTGATTCCCTTCATTCTTCTCCTCAAATAGTGGACAATCTCCCAGGCAATTATTATCTTATCATGTATCTGTCTACCGGCAACAAAAGCTCCTTGAGTATTAGAAACACGAACATTCAAACAAGATTTCAGTCTGTTAGCTAAAACTTTTGAGATTACCTTGTAAACAAAGTTACAAAGACTAATTGGCCTAAATTGACTCACATCTTTTGGTCTATCCACCTTTGGAGTCAACTTGATATTTTTTACAATCAGATCATCTATATCACATCTTCCTTCAAAGTAACCATCCACCATCTTCCACAACTCTTCTTTAACCACATGCCAAGATGATTGATAAAATTTTCCATTAAATCCATCAGGACCTGGTGCTTTATTCCCTCCCAACTAGAAAACAGCATCACACACTTTCTTCCTACAAACTGGACTTAGCAACAGATTATTCATATCATTTGTAACACAAGTTTCCACATACTGCAAAACCCCCCTCAAAACTTCTCCGTCCAGAGGTTTTAAAAAGGTCTTTATAAAAATTAACAAAGCAATCAGCAATCTTATTCTCATTTTCCATCCAAGTCGCATCCTCTCTTTTTAACTTCAAGACTGCATTCCTTTACCTTCTTTGGATAATGGAGGTGTGAAAAAAAATCTTGAATTTCTATCCCAGCTTGAAGCCAAGTTATGCGAGATCTCTGCCACCAATAGGTTTCTTCATTATGCCAAACTTTCTCTAACTCAATTTCTACTTCCCCTATTCTCCTTATTACTTCATCAGAAAAGTCTCTTTCATAACAACTAGCCAGCTGACTCAGGAGGGTATCAGCCAAATTTTTATTATTTGGAAGAGTTTCCTTATTCCACTTAATAAGAACCCTCCTACAATTATTTAACCTCCTTATAACCTCCTGTACTTCATCCTATCTCGAATCTTTCTCCAAACTCCATCCAGATTTCACTTTGTCAACAAAATCAGGATGTTCAATCCACATTTGCTCAATTTTAAAACCTCTAGGAGTTTTAACTCTATTGTAATTCAAATCAGTTAACAAGGGTGTGTGATCAGAACCCACAGGCTCTAAATGAAAAACTTGTGACCTGGGAAATTCCTCTCTCATATCCACATTTCCTAGCACCTTGTCAATTCTTTCTTTCACATTATCATCTAGCATCCTCTTATTGTACCAGGTATAACTCATGCCTTTAAAATCCAAATCAAGTAACTCACAATCGGCAATAAATTGTTGAAAATTAAGAATCTTCCTTACTGACCTTGCATTACCGCCTTTCTTTTCCTCTTGAAAGATTAGGTCATTGAAATCTCCTAAGCACACCCATGAGCCCGCAATGCCTCTAGCAATTTGTCTCATCTTGTCCCAGCATCTCCTCATTTCTATTTCTTTAGGAGGTCCATAAAGGAAAGAAATGAATTCAGGAAGATCAAACTTAACAGAATCAACACAAGTATGTATCATATTCTTTTCACTATACAAGACAGTAATCTTCACTTCTTTACACCACCACACACATAAGCCTCCACTTTTAGCTTTAGGATCCACAACAAAGCTGTCACACCCCAACTTTGGAGGTGACCGGCACAGAATATGAGAGACCTCACACTCTTAAGCCTAAATATATGGATTGTTTAACTAATATATATATTTTTAGGATAAACATAAATAAAGGCATCCATTAAACAAAACATTCATATACTTAATCAGGTTGTGATACAAAATATAAAACTATTTGTAGAAATTTTCAACAGAGCCTCCACTATAATCTAGACTTCCTGAAAATTCTACAATAGACTGCCAATTCAAACAATACTTGGGGCTCAGTTCCCCAGCACCAGTATATATATAACTACAATCCAAAATAACCCAAAAGATGAGGACCTAGACATAGATTACGTGGAGCATCAAATTCTAAAAGTAAAGACATAAATGTACTTTTGAGTTTACATTAGCTAACAGTTACTCAAAATAAAGTTTCAAGTTCTGGATCTTCAATGAGGCTCTTTACTGCTCAGCTGGGAGTACAGGGTTAGTGGTACTGTCTGAAGTCAACAAAAGAATCTACCGGTGAATAACATCCCATAGATAATATTTAAAAAGGTAATAACAAATGAATGCAATAAGACTAAATTTTTACTTGGAATGACTATGTGGTAAAGAATTAAAGTTTCTACAGTACACAATCTTAAATTGAAAGATAAATGTATACTCAGGCTCATTAAACAATTAAATCCAAATTTGTAATAAGACAGCTTGTTACACAAAAATATTATAAAATAACATTTCTTAAACACTAATACTTTTATAGGACTTCAACAGAACAGAATAGCAAGCGCAGCTTGAAGCCACGAATACAAGCGTGGACACATAGTCCACGAGAGTAAGTAACCAATCGAGCGCGGCCAATGCCACGAAACAAGCGCGGGAACAATGCCCACGAATATCCAGCGAGCTCGAAATTACCATGGCGCGCCAAGGACTAACAGTGCTGCTGTTAGTGACCAGTGTTCTGTATCCAGACCTCTAAAAAAAAGTGTACAAGCATGCATGGGATCGAGTTTATTACTAACAACCAGAGGGATATATATTTATATATTTTATTTCCACGAAGGGAATCCTTTAAGGAATATTTTACAACAGATGATCCCAGCATGAAGATTTTCAAATAATATTTTCAAAACTCCTTTCCAAATTCCAAGTATAAATATTTATTAGAAACAAAAATGAAGATTAACAAATTGTAAGCAGAACTTTTAATCAACATATAACAAGATAAATATTCCTTCAAGTAATAAAACATTAAAACATTAAATAAGTGAGATTGGAAAAATAATAAGATTTAAGTTAAATCACCTTGACAGACCATTTAAAGAAGCTAAATGTTTTTTTTTTTTAAATAAGAATTTATGACCATGGGACGCTATTCACTCACCTGTTATGCTCCCAAAATATAACTCATTCCAATTAGCACATCCTTGAGTTATGGTCACTCCTCAATCCCCTAGTGTCCCGAAACAAAACATTATTAATACCCCATTTATAACTTATATACATCTAAATCATTTATCAACAATCTCTTACAACTCTAACAAGCCCATCCATGTCAAAAATATTCAAAGATTAGCATAATAGTTGGCAAGCATAACATATAAATTATAATTCACTTGTTTCCCAATAACAACGTAAAACTCCAACCTTCAAGTTTTCTACCCACAAGAACAATCAACTCTTATTTCCTTCATGTATCTCCTGAAAGCCAAGGTTTCATCATAATTAATCCAAAATAATATCTATCTTGCTCTTTTCCATCAAAATGTTATATAAACACCTATCAAGAAATTCTTTTGCTCATGTAGACATTTTTTCAAACACCCCACGGGCACTCAATATTGTTTTGTGAACAAGCATCCGCACCAACAACTTTTTCAGGTTTCCTTCTTAACTAAATTCATCTCATAGACCAAAATAAACAGCACCCAATAATTTCAAGCTTCAAATAATAGTTGCAAGCAATCACCATGCATCACCCGTAAAAAAAATATATAATCCTTCCTCCTCAATATGCTTCGTTTAAGACAACCCCCATAATCCTTGAAATCTCAAAACTTCCAGCAACCAAACCAATTAATACCCAAGCCAAAAATCACAAGATCCAAGAAGATAACATCCTACCCGTGACCACCCACACCCAAAATTCTGCAGAAACGAATATGGAAAGAAAATTCGCATAGCCACCCAAAATCAACCAAAATCAGCCCCAAACGCACAACAAGAAAGGTAAAACTCACCTAAACTTACACCATACTCCTACATTGCAAGACAGACCAGAAAAAGGGGGGAAAGTGACTCCAAAAGAAAGAGAAACACCCCAAACTCTAGCAATGTTCTGCAGCGAAAACAGAGGAGAAATAATCTGCAAGAATGCACGCCGGAGACTGCAAAGTGAACGGTGGAGGACAGAGGGAGATGCGACCGTTGAAGAAGAAAAAGAAGGGTTAGGGATTCAGCTTTGAAAAACTTGTTCTACTCCTCCATTCTCTCGCTAAAATGAAGAGCATCGGGAGAGGAAGAAAAAAAAATCTGATACTTACTTTTTATTTTTACTCTAAGGGTATTTAAGTAATTCAATAGTGCTGAAACAAAAATTAAATTACTCCAAAGAGATGGCCCTAGTTCGAACCCAGAACCTCCAATGCCTTCAGCCACTTCCAGAGCCATTAAACCACATGATTTACTTGGTTGCAGCTACAACAGCAATAAAAAGAAACTATTAACCAATAATTTAGTATAATAAATTGCAAGATTGTTACAAAAGCCTTCCTCTGAACCATAGCTTCTCCTCGACCTTTCCACTACAACTTTTTTTGTTTCGTCTCCATCAAGAAAACTATCAGGGGTTTATGAATTCTACAAGCATTCTTCAAATTTTTAACTATCAAGGGAGCCCCAAACCCTTGACAGTTCCATGAGATAACACTCATTGTGCCTGGGTGGTTGTTTTAGACCAGCCACCAGCACCCTTAGCATCAATTACAATAACACAATCAGTCTATTCACCAAGGGAAGCAGCTTGACTAACATTCTGGATTCCTTCTGACGCTTCTCCTCCAAGATTCTGGGTTACACCGCCACACCCTATTTTTCTCATTTGCTTCTTAGGAATTCTACCTCTTCTTGTAACTCTTCTTTGAGTTAATTTCTGAGACGCATCAACAATCTTTGTGGTCTCAAAGAAAACTAAATTCCTTCTCTTAACATCTGACCTCTTCTCTTCCTCCATTAATGGCCTTTTCAACCCAATCTTCCTCAAACCTGTTACTATCTCCAACATAGGAGAAACACTCCCATATAATACTATTGCCTTAGACATATTGCTGCTTTTCTTAGGTAGAGACAAAGCTTTCTCTTCCTTCTCTTCAGACCTATAAATTGCAACCTCCTTCATTGCTTTTTTAATTGAAATTGAGCTAGCCTCCTGACATCCACTAGTCCCTACAATAACCTCTTCCTTCTCATTCTTCTTACCAACCATTACTGCTCAAATCCACCTCAGTCTTCTTATCACCTATATTCTTTTCTTTATTTACCTCATCTTCCTTCCAAGGTAATTCAATCTATTTGCCTTTATCATTTGTCTTTCTTAACTTCATACCCTCCACTTCTTCCCAACTATCCTTACAGATAACTACTAACTCATCTATCCTTCTCGCAGCCTGTACTCCCAACCAATTTCCATACTCTACAGAGCCAGGCTCTTTGTTGTCCTTGTACATACACTTTTTGATATCATGCCCCAGTCTCCCACAAGCAAAGCACAAATTCTGCAATCTTTCATATCTCACCTTGATCAATATAAGATCCTTATCAGGTCGTGGAGCACGAACTCTAGTAACTAGAGGTTTCTTTAAATCTAGAGATTTCTTTAAACTAACAAGCACTCGAGCACGAAGAAAACTCCTAGTTAACAGACCATCACACTTAGGATCCTCCACAAGAACCACCTATCCAATCCTCAAGCCAAGTGTAATGGCTTTTTCAACATCCATCAACGCCAATGGCAGGCCCTGAAATTGGATCCTAAAAAGGCACAAGTCAAAGTTTACCTCACTACCTACCATATCTTCCTCCCACTTTTCAATATTTAGGAGCCATCCATTAATTGACCATGGCCTTCCTCGTAGAATTTTTCTATAATCTTCTTGATATCAAAATTCAAACACAAAAGTCTTCTGATCCACCTCTACAATTTCCAGATCCTCTTTCTTTTGTAGATTCCATCCCTTTCTGATCATCTGAATTAACGTAGCAACATTCAGATTCTTCTCTGTAATCATTCTTCGAATCAGAGCACCACCCCCAAACCTTCTCTCTTCTTTCCTCCTCCACACCAAATTAACCTCAAGAGTCATCTTGTTCTCTTCCGACTTTCTTTCTCTCGACCTTCCTTCAAACTCAATTGACATTATTCCTCCGATCATCTATTCCTCACCACACTTCTCTCTCATAGAGAACGATTGAGAAGCCACTCTTTTCATCTCCACCACAGTGGTGGATGAACGGCACTCTGAAAAACCTCCTTCATAGCTGTAATCAACGACAGAACAAGTTACAAACACGACAATGCCGTTGTAACTAACTCAGAAGAGAGAGAAAACTCCCACTCAAGAGAGAGAAATGATTTTTTTGATGATTCAATTTGATGGTTATAAGAAATTCACTTTTTCCCTTTCTTTTTTTTTGATAGCATTTTTTATTTTTTTTATAGCAACTTTTTCCCTTTCTAATATTTTAGTGTTTGGAATTAGTAAGACGTGTAACTGTTTTTTTTTGTTCTTTTTTGTAATTCGATCAATGAAAAAGCTCCATATCACATTTAATGTGCCCACATGTTTTATTTTTTACACGCGCGCATATAGATTTTAATTTTACAAATTAAAATTGAAAAATTAATGAGTTAATGTACATATTTGACACAAATATATTTTGGTGGAAACTCATCGACAAGGATCCTTTTATATCGATTACTTATTTATTTATTTTATCTTCGTTTTTCCCCTAGTATATTCTCTTATGAAAATGTTACTCATCCATCAATTTTTTTTTGTCCAGGTTTTGTACCCAAAGGGATAGGCAGTCTTGATAAACTTGATAAATTAGACTTATCCGGTAATTATTTCAAAGGATCTATTCCTTCCAACATATTCAACATTTCAACATTAACATTGTTAAACCTTGGTGGCAACTCCCTCTCCGGCCTTCTCCCATCATATTTAGGAAACGGCCTTCTCAGTTTGGAGAAGTTATGGTTGTATGAGAATGAACTAACTGGACAAATTCCAAACAGCATATCAAATGCTTCTAAGCTCATTGCGTTAGACTTGTCATCGAATAAACTTACCGAAGCTATACCCAATGTAATTGGAAATTTAACAAGCTTGATTGACTTAGCTTTGGATGAGAATGAATTGATTGGTTTGATTCCATATACAGTTGGCAAATTACAGAGCCTTCAACATTTAAGCCTGAGCAACAACAAATTACAAGGTTCCATTATAAATGACCTTTGCCAACTCAAAAATCTAAATGAGTTGAATCTTGCTAACAACATGTTTTTGGGAACAGTTCCGGGATGTCTTGGGAATACTTCTTTGCAAAAGTTGAATTTTAGCTCTAACAAATTTTTTTCCCATATACCCTCTTCTCTTTGGAGTCTCAAAGATTTATTGGTTTTAGACATATCCTCTAGTGCATTGAGTGGAATAATTTCACCGGAGATATCAAACTTGAGAGCAATTACACTATTGAATTTGTCAAGAAACCAAATTTCAGGAAACATCCCTACAACTATGGGTGGGTTGTAGACTTTGCAATACCTATCTTTGGCTCACAACAAATTGCAAGGGCATATACCTGAATCACTAAGTAGCATGATAAGTATTGAGTTAATAGATTTTTCCCATAATCATTTGTTTGGTGTGATTCCAAAGTCCTTAGAGTCATTGCACTATCTTAAATCTATTAATATTTCCTACAATTTATTGGAAGGAGAGATTCCGAATGGTGGTCCTTTTCAAAATTTTACTGCTCAATCTTTTATGATGAATAAAGATCTTTGTGGAAAATCCCAGCTACAAGTCCAACCATGTAGGAGAGGAAACAAACACATATCAAATAAAGTGATGCTGGTGATAAAATGCTCAGTGTCTATCATGGTTGTCATTTTGGTTATTATAGGCATTGTCTTTCTAAAGCATAATAGAGATGATGCTAACTATGCAACCAAAAGGGATTTAACAAATTTGGACGCACCAACCAGGATATCCTATTATGAGCTTCTACAAGGAACAAATGGATTTGATGCGAGTAATCTTCTTGGCTCTGGAAGTTTTGGATCAGTATATAAAGCAATTCTTCCAAATAAAAAGATAGTTGCTGTCAAAGTATTTAACGCAGACATGGAAGAAGCATTGAGAAGTTTTGATATTGAATGCACTGCCATGTGCAATTTACGCCACCGCAATCTCATTAGGATTATTAGTAGCTGCTCAAACGATGATTTCAAGTCTCTAATTATGGAATTCATGTCAAATGGAAGTCTTGATAGATGGTTGTACTCTCATAACTACTGTTTAGATATCTTGCAGAGGTTAAACATAATGGTTGATGTGGCAACTGCATTAGAGTACCTTCATCATGGTACTTCTATTCCGATTGTTCATTGTGACATAAAACCAAGCAATGTTTTGTTGGATGAAGGCATGGTGGCTCATCTTAGCGATTTTGGTATAGCTAAATTATTAGGTGAAGGACAGTTGGAAACTTATACAAAAACATTAGCTACAGTTGGCTATATGGCACCAGGTAATAGTTTAATAATAATATTTTAGTTCAATTATGTTTTTTTTATTATTCTATGCAAAATTTTATATTATTCAATCATTGATATGTAAACATATTTTCCATTCCTATATGCAAAGATTTTTATTAGCTCTATAAAAGAAAAGTTTAGCAGCAAAGCTTATATTCTCTTTTGACATATAGAGTATGGATCAAAAGGAGTGGTTTCTTTCAAAGGAGATGTGTATAGCTATGGTATCATGCTAATGGAGATGTTTACAAGGAAGAAGCCAACCGACAAAATGTTTGTTGAAGGTCTTTCTTTGAAAGATTGGGTTAGCAAATCAATACCGCATTCAATCATCAATATTCTAGATGTCAATTTGCTATGCAAAGGGAATCCAAATATTAGCAATATATTACAGCATATATCATCAATTTTTGAGTTAGCATTAAGTTGTTGCACTGAATCACCTGAAGCACGAGTTATGATGACTGATGTTGTGGTCTCATTGAA